GCCTCTTAGCCACTGAGCCACCTTGGTTGCGCCCTTGGTTGCTACTAGAGAGGACGGAAACACAGAGAGGTGTGTGGGAGAAGACCATCTGACCTTCTCGATGCTCAGCTCTTTGACGGCGGACCCCACAATCTCGTTGATCACATCGGTATATTTGTGCAGTTCCATGGCAAACATGTTCTCCAAGGTGAAGGTTTCGGTGGCCATGTCGAAAAAGGTATTGGTCCTGGTCATCAGCTCCTTCCAGTGTCTGAAAGAAGAGGAGGAGAGAAATCGACATAGGTTGCTTCACAGGTGGATTGAAGTAACCAAAGTGGTTTGTGTTTTAGAGGCCTGGGGGCTAAAACATATGAAGAACAGTTGCAGGGATATTCTTCCAATATTTGAGGGGCTGCGACAACCAAGAGATGGTCAAACTACTTTCCAAAGCACCAGAGGACAAGATAACAAAAATGGACAGGTACTAGTGAAGGAGAGAAGCAATAGCAATAGCAATAACAATAGCAGTTAGACTTATATACCGCTTCATATGGCTTACAGCCCTCTCTAAGCGGTTTACAGAGTCAGCATATCGCCCCCACAGTCTGGGTCCTCATTTTACCCACCTTTGAGCCGGTGAGATTTGAACTGCCGAACTGCAGATAGCAGTCAGCTGAAGTGGCCTGCAGTACTGCACTCTAACCACTGCGCCACCTCGGCTCCTAGAACTAAGGAGAAACTTCCTGACAGTGAGGATAATCCACCAGCCGAACGAAGCCGTGGGTATTCCCATCACTGGAGGTTTTAAAGAAAAAACTGGACAGCCATTTGCCAAGAACGGCAGAGGGTCTTCTGCTTGGGCGGGGGGCTGCACTAGAGGACCTCCAAGGTCCCTTCCAACTCTGTTGTTTTGTTAAAGTGTTTGGTTTTCAAGAGAGAAGATGGGAGGAGAAATACACCCTGGTTTTATGGGTTTAACCCAGGCCGTGCTTCCCAAGCTGCACGTTGACTTAAAACGTCCACGCTTAGTGACACCTTTCATAGTTACGAACAACCCCACGGATGGGGAGAAGCCGAACCTTTCTCGCAAAGCTTCATTCTTCAAATCCAGCAGCAGAGGAATGGCTTCCTTGAAAGATTTCATCTTTACTTCCAGGTGATAGGCCACCGGCATGCTACGGACTTGTTTCGGCAACTTTCGGAGAGTTTTGAGATACCCTTCAATTCCTTCCTGTAACACCTGGACGTTCAGGTTCACCCAGAGAGTCTGAGACCATTCCTCTTTGGCGGCCTAGAACCCGGAAAAGTGTCGTTAAGAACATCTTCACCTTGGCAAAGAGATCAGGAGAGAAGATCAAGAGATCAAGGACACCCGTCCTCCCGAATAAAGATTTCGTTGAGATCCAGAGGTGGGATTCAGCCGGTTCTGACCAGCTCTGGAGAACCGGTAGAAGAAATTTGGAGTAGTTTGGAGAACTGGCAAATACCACCTCTGGCTGGCTCCGCCCCCATCTATTTGCTGCCTCCTGAGTCCCCAGCCAATTGGCTGGGTCTTCTTCTGTTGCCCTGCGCAGGAGAACGGAACTGGAAAGCAGGTTAGTGGGGTGGGGAGTGGGGTGGAAGTGGAGATTTTGCAGTATCCTTGCCCTGGAGTGGGGTGGAAATTGAGATTTTACAGTATCCTTCCCCTGGAGTGGGGTGGAAATGGGGATTTTGCACTATCCTTCCCCTGCCACGCACACAGAACCAGTAGTAAAAATCTTTGAATCCCGCCACTGTTGAGATGAGTATTTATGAGTATTTATTAATACTTATAGGCCGCCCTTTTCCCTGAGGGGACTCAGGGCGGATTACATAAAATGAAGGGAGGGGG